ATTTATGTCTTAAGTATGTTATTGTTTAACCAAAAAATTTTTTATCTAATGTTAAATATGGTTGTTCAAACAAGAACAAAAGCACAAATGTTTCAAGACTTACTCAATAAAACTTATTGTTTACTCAAGTAATTATTTTAGAACGTTTCGACGTACTCCTTGATCTTATCAAGAGCTTCGAGCATCCGCTTCTTTGCATTGTACTTGGCGAGGATGGCTTGCTCAATGGTGAGCTCGAAGGCTTCTTTACCGATCGGATGGTGATCGCGAAGATCTTTGAGTGCATCAAGAGCTGCAGTGTACTCTGATGGTAAATGGGAGCCATCTAGTAATGGGTACAAAATGAGCATGTACTCCTGCAGTAAGTTCTCCTGTTTCAAGCGGGACTTGAACTCTTCGCGGAGATCTTGAAGCTTTTGGAGCTTCTCAGTGGCTTGAAGGTAGTCAATGATGACCTTCTCTTGTCCTCAAGTGCTTGTGGGAGGAAGTGGACATAAGCTGTTGACTTCATCAAAAATGAAGTGGTCATGACACTTTTTAAGTTAATGTCCGAGCCATACAGTGATGTCGAAGCAGCACATGAACCAAAGAAGAAGTCTTGCTGGGAAAAGACAAAGATTGTTGGTAACGCAATCCTAGCCATTTGTGTTGTTTTGAACTTGATCGTACTTCTGATCTTGTTCTACAAACTCAACAGAGGTTATTGTCTCAAGTAAACACTTATTTTTATTACCATATAAATGATTTTTACCAAACCTCCTTTACCTTTCATAGGTAATAAGTCTAAGATCAGGAAAGATCTTATCGACATACTCAAAGACATCAAAGGGGATTATGTCTTCGTTGACCTCTTTGGTGGTTCTCTCTATATCTCTCATCTGTTGCATATTATGTTCCCAAAAGCAACGATCATAGCTAACGACTATGATAACTACGTTGATAGACTGAAACACATTCATGACACGAATGAAATACTTAAGGAACTTAAGGAGAGAATAAATGTTAAGCCAGATGAGAAAATTCCTACTGATCAGAAAGAGATCGTCAGAGAAGTTATAAGTAAAGCTCCATACATAGACTGGGATACATTATGTTCACGTCTTCTCTATTCTGGAGCATACAAATACTATGATCTTGACACATTAATGAAGAAAGTGTTATACCTCAGATATACTAACTTATTTGGTGAAAACATAGATGACTATCTTGAAGGTTTAACTATTGTTCATAAAGATTGGAGAATACTCTTCAATGAGTATAAAGATCTTCCCAATGTTTTCTTTATATGTGATCCTCCATACTTCCATACTTATTCTATACAGTATGGAGATGAATGGACTCTTAAAGATACTGTAGAAACCTTTGATGTCCTTAATTATCCATCTATTTACTTCAGTAGTGATAAATCTTATACAGAAGAACTTATAGAGATATTGACAAAAAGATATGGAGAGAAATTTCTATGAGAAAGCATGTTATAGATAGAGGTTTAATTAATCCTAACACTCAGAAAAATAATGAAGTAATATATGTCACTTTTTCTGTTAATGGAGAAGAGAAAGATCAAGAAGATAATAGTTGATGAGGGAACTGAAGAAGCGACGACATTCATCTTTGACGACGGAAAGCTCACATTCGTTGTCGATAAAAATGGACAACACTTACACAAAAGAAAGAGACCAAGAAAATTTTTAGATCTCCCAAAAGCTAGGAAACCAAAGGAACCATTTCCAGTACCAGCCGTCCAAGAACCAGAGAGACTTTTGATACCAAAACCTGTGGTTGACAAATATGATCCAGATCAGTTCTTCCCAAAAATACCAAAGTTAGAATAAAAACTCCTTTATTTCTTTAGTATTATATAATAAGTCTATTAGTAAGCTCTGTTCTCGTTCTGTTCTGGTATTTTGACGTCTTTTCATGGTCTCGCATAATAAGATCATGAACTTTTTCTTGAGATACTCGAAGAGCTGAGGTAAGTTATCATATTCTGGATATGTAGGAAGCATCCCTGCTATCGTAAGTGTTGTATCAATAAGGATTGGACTTATATCGGAAAAGTCGAGATCTGGAGTAGAATAAGAAGGTAAGTCTCTTACATGTAGGTAGTCATTATATGCTTTACGCATGAGACTGAGTTTCTGGAGCACAACTATGAGACTTTGGTTCTGACGTTCAAGTTTGCTTAAAGTTCTCTCCAAGCTTCTGTAATAAACGTCAACCTCTGTAAGAGCAGATATTTTTGCATTGATCTCGGAGATCTTTTCTTGAACTTCACCAAGTTTGACCTTAACTGACGTTTGAGCTCCCATCATGTTTTCATCAAGGTCATTCTCTATGTCATCAATGATATCTTCCCATGAAGTCATTTTCATCATTGATCTTAACGTGAACACTCATGAAAAAAATGTCAAAAGTATAAATGAGATTTTTACTCTTGAGCTTCTTCTCTCAATTCTCGTCTGTAGGGCTTAATGTGCCATCACGTTCGACCAGAAGGTTCTGCTCAGGTCTGTCAAGGAGCTGTCTGTAGGTCGTGAAGGTTTCAACGAGTCCTTGGTAAGGAGTTTGGAGATCAACATCGACCCATGGGTGTTTGCGTAAGAAAGCAGCAAGGCTTTCACGCTTGGAGTCAATGACATCTTTCTTATTGGTTAATCCTTCTTCAAAGCTTAGGATTACTCCTGCAGTTGCTTCAAGTCTTTGGATCTGGCGTCTGGAAACCTTGGTGAGTTGTCTTCTCTCTCGTTTCCAAATACATGCAGGAGATATGCAGAAACTACTTCATTAAGTTCGATTAAACAAATTGGATGAAGATCAGTCATGGCTTTTGTAAAGCAATCTTTTGTAAAGCAGTCTTTTGTAAAGCAGACTTTTGTAAAGCAATCTTTTGTAAAGCAATCTTTTGTAAAGCAGACTTTTGTAAAGCAATCTTTTGTCAAGACGTCTTTTGTAAAGCAAAAGTATTCTTTTGTGAGAAAATGCTTTTGTAAAGCAGTCTTTTGTAAAGTCTTTTGTCAAGACGTCTTTTGTAAAGCTGTCTTTTGTAAAGCAGTCTTTTGTAAAGCTGTCTTTTGTAAAGCTGTCTTTTGTAAAGCTGTCTTTTGTAAAGCTGTCTTTTGTAAAGCTGTCTTTTGTAAAGCAGTCTTTTGTAAAGCTGTCTTTTGTAAAGCTGTCTTTTGTAAAGCAGTCTTTTGTAAAGACATAACCGACGACCGAATGTCCCAAGATGGTACAACACCAGCTCCAGCATCACCAACACTAGATATGATGGCAATGATGATGCAGATGATGCAACAGCAAACCCAGCTTATACAGCAAATGCAGGAAAAGAAAACTTTCAATAAACCTGCAAAGAACTCACAAGATCTTGAAGCTGGACTCAATGCTCTCAGGAACGACTACAAGAGAGAGCAGATGACGTTTAGGAAGAAGGGTGATGAAGATTATGAGAATGATCCGATCGAGGAAGACGAGATCAAGTCCACTGCATCCACAAAGACCCTCCAGGATGAAAGAGATGATGAGGGATTCCTTACCAAGTCTCAAAGACTCTTTGTCCTTGAGTTCTTCACGATCTCTGCCTTGAGATCTATGAGGAATTGGAAGGGTCGCGTTCCAAGTGGCTCAAACAAGCGCGAACTACTCATGACCGCAGTACCGCTCACTAAGACAAAAGTCCAGCTCATGGACTTTATCCTTTCCGCTTGTCCCGACGAGATCTAAGATCTGATCAGAGTAAAAACTTACATTTATGAGCTAAGCTCAGTAATAATTAGTTGTTTATTCTTTCTTCTCATACTTCTGTGCAAGGTTTCCACGGAAGAACTCAAGCAACATTTGGATCTTTCCAAGCTTTCGACCTTCTTTTTCGAGGTCATCCTGGTAAGTTCGGAATGCGTCAACGTGTGAGCTCGCATAGAATGCAGCAACAACAACCTCTTCTGCACCTTCTTTGCTGTCAAGTGGCATGAACTCGAATCCTTCCATTCGACCAAATAAAAGTGACAAAAATGTCAATGAGACCCACTCGTTGCATAGATGCTAAACCTGGTCCGAAGATGCAAAAGTTCTTCTTAACACTCATGTCTGACCATAGGGAGTACGGTCATGAAGAGGTCATACAGATCTTCGATCAGTGTGTACCAAAACCTGAGAATCCAGACGAACTCTTCATGAAAATTTACTTGCTTCAATGGAGAGATGAGAGAACAGATATGAAACTCAGACCAATACAATCTTTCTAGGTTTCTGCAATTACCTAGAACAAGCATACCAGATTAAAGGGTCTGACACCATCTTCCTCCAAAAATAAACTTTATCGTTTATAACATCAGGATCTACATCTATTTCTTCTGCTTCATCCTCAATGTCGATCTCTTCGACAGGTTTGATAGCAGCTTTGAGTAAGTTCTTACCCATTGTCTTAAGTTCAACTGGGTTATATTCTTTGTCTTTACTCTTTGTTGATTTCGTGAGATCTACATATAAACAATAACTTTTAGTCTTGTCAAGGTTTATTCTCGCTGAGAAATGGTCAGGAATGTTTATAGCTATCTTTTCAAACTTGAGTAAATTAGCTAAACCTTCATTTGTGTATTTCTGCTTATCGACAAAGATCATGATCGGACTTGCACTATAACCATACTTTCCTTGACATAATGTTGTGGTAAGCATATAAGTAGTCTCTTTGCTGTTTTATTTTGCTTCTTCACTTCATCTACAAACTGTTGGATCTTAAAGAACTTTATATGATGTTCAGACATCTTTATATACCCGATAAAAAGTTCAGATAAAAAAATAATTAGCTATATTTTTATTAGTGCATAAATGAGTCTTTCTTTGAGATTTTCTGATGAAGATCTAACTTTGGTAAGATCTTTAAAAGATGATGAAAACATTCTTTCTGTCATTGATGAAGAAAAGAAATACTTCAGTAATGATGTAAAAATAGAGCTACTCATTCATACTGAGAAACAGTTTGTGATCGTGATCTTGAGTTAAGCAGCTCTGAACCAAGCGAATACAGTCATAAATGGTGGCATATAATCTGCACCCGAGCCTGTTGGATTTGTTGTGAAAGTGTGTGAATGATTTCCTGTGGTTCCACAGAAAATACCTGCGCTTGAATCTACTGGGTCACTTGAAATATCATATCTATGCATTCCCTGTCTATCCGAACCTGCTGCAAGATTTGTATAACCTCTTTTTGTTATTGAATGTGAATGACTACCTGTTGTGTTTGTAGTTCCTGTATGAGTGTGCGGTGGAAGGTTTGCTTCAGTAATTTTCTTCGAACCTCCTGTTTGCTTTGAAGAGTTTGCACAGTATAAGAATTTGTCTACAATCTGCTGCCATGTACCAAAACCCAGAACTGTTTCTGGATTTGTTGAGTTCATTGACGTATAAATAGAACCAACAGGATATAATGTTTGAAGTATTTCTGTCTTTAATGTTTGAAGCTCTGTTTTGTCTGCTTTCTTGTCATATAAATCTTGAGCAGTGAATTTAATATTATGTTCATCCTTCATGACATAAACATCTTTACATCTAATGTTTCTCATCGTCGTTATGTCGTCATCCGATGTTAAACCTTGTGGAAAGTTAGGAGGTTTACAATATAATGTATCCCCACCAGTTTCTTCAACCGTTCCTTCAATACTTTCTATAGCAACAGTTGAGAAGGAGTTATGTGTATGTTCTTTATCTGCTTTTTTATCTAACATTGTTGGTAGTTCATGTGTTTCAAAGTTTCTGACATGACCTTCAATGTTCATACATTTGTTATTTAAGGAGTTTAGTGTATCTTTTACGCTTGTACTTGGATTCTCTAAAGGTGCACTTGAACCAAGGGTATAGTTCAATATTATGTCGTCTGCTCTTATTTTATTGATTATAACAGGTTTGTCTTCTCTTGAACGAATTGATTTAACTGTCAAAGGTTCAGTGAACTCATTATTTTTCAAAGGAATCAATGTTGTATTGATGTTTTCACCATTAATATATACTTCTTTTGCATCAATACCAGATGGGAATGAAACTCTTTCATTAACTTTAACTGTTGTACCATCACCTGGGTACATATCTTTCTCTGGACCTTTGATTGTCTTAAGTATGACAGACTGTGGTAAAGTATATTCTTTAGATGTAACTTTACGTATCTCTTCGTCAACATAACTTTTGTCAGCTTTGTCTGCAATCTGAAGTGCAGTTCTTCCTCCATTATTTTTGTTCTCCTCAACTTTCTTCGCTAATTCAGCAAGAATGAGATAAAGATAATCAGTAAGGTCATCAGTACCAGACATATTAATATTATTGTTCTTTCTTGATGTATTAGCAACTTTCACTAAGGTCACAAAATCAGGGTACAAAGTACTTAACGTAGAAATGATTGTTTTTGGTCCAGGATCTTTCTCTTCTTCATCATTAGCATCACGTGGCATTGGAATTGGTTCCAAAGGTCCAGTCACATCAAAACTCTCAAGTTCCATATAACCTTCATTTCTGAATCTTTCTATATGAGTTATCTTCTGGAAACTTGTTTTAGTCTTTTCAACTAAATTTTTTATTCCATCCACAAAACCTCCTTTATGATTTGGACCAAGATTACCCAGAGTGTCAAGAACAGTATCTATACCTTCTTGACTTTCAACAAAAGCCCAAAGAGCATTTATTTGACTCTGGAGTGATATCCATGAGGCTGCAGTAGCACCGGCGTTTGCTATGGCAAAGATGAATGATAAAGGGTTGAACTTAAGACCAGATTCTTTATCTTTGACAATTTCAACGAAGTCATTGATATTTTTCTTCAAGTATTCCTTAGTCAGAAGAACTCCATCGCCAGCTATACCAGTTGCTTTTGTCTTTCCTTTAACATCAAATGTGATTGGTTTCTTCAATAAAATAACTTCTGGTGTTGTACTGATGCTATCATTAGTGGAGAAAAATTCTCCGACATGACTTGCTAAGTATTCTTTCGTCAATAATGTTCCATCACCAACAATACCAGTTGCTTTTGGACCATCTTCTGTGAATGTCAATGGTTTCTTTAACATAACTTTATCTAAGTATATTGCAATACCACTATTTTGTACTTGTTCATGACCTAATATATAAGCAAATGCTGCGTTTAAAGCATTATACAATGTATCTTCTTTAAATGTTAATTGACTGTTTTCAATCATTGGTATATTGAACAGTGTAGACCTTGGGTCAAAATGAACTCCATGGTCAATCGATAATAACCGTTTAACATGATATATTATAGTCTCTAATGCTTCATTAATATTTACCTCACGAGTTTCTTGCAAACCATTACTCGCCATACATGAAAACATATAATCTCTATCAGTTGTGAAGAATGGAGCATCTAAGTAATTATTCTCTACTTTTGTCACACGATTCTGTAACGCTTGAAGGTATTGATTTAAGTCTGTTTCAACAATTGTACCATCTGGTTGCTCGATAGGTAATATACCAGGACCGATGGTAATGTCTTCATCAGCACCTTCTTTATGTATGACTAAAGCATTATCAGTAATTCTGAGAGTATATTCTTTATATTGAAGTACGCTAGACTTATAACATTCATATGCATATGGAACAACACTCATTCTTTTACTACATATAAAAATGATGTATTATCTACAATCGACTGATCCTAATAACTACGGGACAATACAGTTTCAAGCAGATCCTAACATGGGGCATCCAAGTAAGATAAAGATGAGAGTAAAAAGTGTCAGTACTATGGCGAACTTTATTGTTTGTGACGAAACAGATTATTTTGTCTTACAGTTAGACGAAGATGGAGAAGAAAAGGTGTGTACATTTAAGTCAGCTCTTTCATTTGATATGGATACTATTGTATCAAAACTACAAGAGATTGTAACAAAACAGTTTGATTATTATAACAAGAAAAAAGGTCAACATAATGTAACAGTTTCACTGAGTGCTACGAATCAACTTATATTTACGTCACAGGACAAAGGACATAAAGTCTATTTAAAAGATGCTTCACATAGAGCAAATCTTATTTTAGGTGCATATGGAATAGAACTACCTATTGTACATAATTATTATCTACAAATGCCAAAACCACCTATGCTCAACTTCGGGTATCAGTTATACCTTCGTTCATCAATGTCTGTCATCTCTGGGTTCAATAATATTGACCAAGTTGATGATCGAAGAAAGATCATGTACAGATCTACATGTTATAACATCAATGAGTTCTGGATATCTGGTAAACCACTTATATGTAAGGAATCCTCACCATGGATAGATGCATTTCCATGGGAACTAACTAATGTTACGTTTACCTTAGTTGACTTCCAAGATCAGCCTGTTCGATTATTGTCACCAATGTTTATGGTGATAGAGATTAAACCAGATAAGCCAGAAGTTAGAGAAACCAATGATGTCAGTGATGATGATACAGAATCTTCGTACGATTATGATTACGATGACGATTAAAAAAAAATAACGTATATTTTTTTATCGGTTATAAAAGACCAACATGCTCAATGCTATAAAAGGATTAGTTAATAACCTTTCACCAGAAGATAAGAAAGGTATGCTTGATATGTTTGGGATCAAAATGCCTAAGAAAGCTAAAGACATTACCAATAAATTAGCTCTGGCAATTAAGAATCAAGGAGGTACAGGAAGTGTAGCAGATATTTTCAAGAATGCTAAGAGCTTCTATGATGACTACAATGGTATCATGAATGTTCCAGCTTCAAATTCCCCAGTTGCTTTAGATCACGATCAGAGATCTCATAATAGAGCGTTAATGGAGATGCAACCAATATACTCAGACCCTCCACCAAAGATTGATGAGAGCGAATTAGCATACAAAGAAATACAGAATGCCTTTTACGTTGTTAAGAACATTAATGGTCAAAAACTTCCTGATGAGAAATGGTTAGACCCAATAACTAAAGCAGGAGAAAGATTCATTATGTTTAACATTGACCAATACAGTCCAAGAGGAAAAGATTACTTCAACAAGATGTTTCCAAGAGTTATGGCAAAGTTCATTGGACAGATAGACCTTTTCAAACAGAAGTGGACATTCTATTACGACTTTGATGAGAAGAGAAACATTTTGCGTCATTTGAACATCAATACAATGGGATCATTAGTTCATCAGTTACTTAATGAAGCTCCAATAGCAGAAGTACAAGAATTAGCATCTAAAGTCCTTGAATCAAACTATGACTTCTTCCTTTGTAGTATTCCTTCGTTAAGGAAGATCGAGATCTTTGACTATACAGCTTATTCAGATGTTGATGCTTCTGCTTTGAGAAAAGGAACGTACACACCATATAAACTCACAGCTGAAGAACAAGTTATGTTAGATACGATGAGAGCAGCAGGTCAAGAAAAGATCGCACTCAAGATCATCAAACAAAACCATTCAAAGAAGAGAAACAGGTCACGTAATGGTCAGCTTTGGACATGGACATGCAAATTACCTATTAACTTAGAGAGGTATCAGATCTTCAACGAACTTAATGCAGAGACAGCAAAGAAGATGATGAAAGATTCATGTTTCATCTACGCTTGTATTCAAGCTGGTGTTGACGAAGCAACAATTAATCATATGAGGGAAATCATTCGTGTCAAAGATTTTCCAATGTCAAAGATTAAGGTTATTGCCAAAGAAACAGGAATAAGGTTCCATGTCATCAAATACAACGAGAAGTATTCAAATCATTCATATACTTATGAACCAGATGAAGAACCAAAGATGACAGTAGAACTTTTATTAATGTATGACCACTACATGTTGAACGAAAAGCTTCCAATAAGTTCAATGTTCATCAAGAACTATGAAGATGTTTGTAAGTTGTGCAAGGATTGGACTTTAGAGAAGAAGATGTTAGTTAACAGAAGATATGAAACAAGGTATGCAATTAACTCAAAGTTAGTTACACCACTTGCAAAAGTCATTGAACTCTTGTTTGCTAACAATTATTTCGAACCAATTAGAACAGGAGAACTTTGCACATACTTCACAACGATGTATAATGAGAACCTTGAAGAAATGATTGACCTCACATACAATGAGCGTTATTGCGCAAGGATGAAGAAAGATTGGAGTTCAGAGACGAAGAAAGACATGAAGTTCCCAAGAGAACATGTTTTCTTTGCTGACTTCGAAGCATCAACTGATGGAAACATTCACAAAGCATACAACATTTGTTTCATGGAAGATGACGATGATGGTTATACATCAATTTGGGGAAGTGACTGTGCGTCAAAATTCCTCGAAGCTTTACCAGATAAGAGTTTAGTTTATTTCCACAACTTATCGTACGATGTCACTTTTCTCATGTCTCAGTTAGAAGAGATTACAGGAACTCCAATCATCAAAGGTTCACAAACGATGCAGATACAAGGAAAGTACAAAGGAAAACTTCTCTGCTTCAAAGACTCTTATGCAATCATCTCAACTAAGTTGGAAAGATTCCCTGAAATGTTTCACCTCACTAGTGGTGAAAAAGAAGTTTTCCCATATAATTACTACACGGAAGAGTTAGTTAATACAACTAAAGTTGGTAACATCGATGATGCCATGAATCATGTCAAAGATATTGAAGCTTTTAATGAGAACATTGAGAAGATTGAAGATTGCAAGATTGATGATGAACACTTTGACATGGAAGTTTATTCGTCATTCTATTGCGGTCAAGATGTACGCATTTTACGAGATGGCTTTCTTAAGTTCCGCAATGACCTCATGACTGAGTTTGAAATAGATGCTTATGAT